CCCATCTTTCTCAGTCACCCCCCAACCCCAAGGTCAGTCCTCCTTTACAACAGTGGAACAATGCAGTATTTGTCCTTTTGTGACAGAGATACTTCACTCAGCAGAGTCACCAATTTTGAATAATATTGCATGAGTTCCTTGTTTTTCAATGCAGAATAGTCTTCCGTTGTGTGAATATACCACCATTTCTCTATCCATTCTTTTGTTGATGGGGGGAGCATTTTCAAGAATAAATCTCAGAAGGCAGAATGAGGCACAAAAGAAGCATTAATGGCTGTCAGAAAGGGAGTGGGAAGAGTGTGGTTACATTGTACAATGTCAATATTGTGATGAATGTCATGAAACAAAATGCAGGTGAATAATTGAATGGAAAGCCTATTCTGTAAATTCTCATTCAAATAACAAAAAATGAGAGGTAGGTTGGTAGGTAGGTAGGTACATAGGTAGGTAGATAATAGACAGACATACAGATAGATAATAGACAGATAGACAGATAAATGGACAGATACCGCACTGCAGTCCCAAAGGGGTTTGAGGCATCAGCTGCTCCATGGGAGAAGGATACGCAATTTCTTCCTGTGTAATTAGCTACCTCTGAAAATCTGCTGGAGGGGGGTCAGCTATGGTTTGATTCTGACTTGATGGAATATGACAACGTATGTACACACAGACACACACACACATTGATGAAAAGATCTCTGAATGTTATCAAACTCACAACAAAATTCCAAAGATCAGATAGAAAACATTTGAATCAGTGAGTTAGTAATAGAGGAAGGAATAATTTGGATAAACAAGGTGAAAATAGTTGTACAACCTGAAGAATTTACTCATTCTCACTGGTGTGCATGTAGAATTGTTGACCTGGTCTATGTTCTCAACAAATAGCAACAAAGAGTAATGTAAATTATTTTACCAGAGAGAGAGAGAGAGCAGGAGTGAGAAGCTCTGTTTTTTGAGTCCATTCTTGTATAGCCCCACATGTTAATGTTATTCTCATTTCTCTCCTTTTCTTTCAGTTTAAGTCTAGATCTATCATGCGCCCCAGTCAGTTTGGGGGACAACGGTGTACCGAGCCTCTGGTGACCTTTCGGCCCTGCATTCCATCCAAGCTCTGCAAAATTGAAGAAATTGACTGCAAGAATAAATTCCGCTGTGACAGTGGTAACGTACTTTTTAAAATATTCAGTCTCTACTAAAAAGAACTTGACTAAATCAAAGTCATTCCAGTAGTCTACCTGTAAAATATGTGACAGAGAAGCTCCCTTCCATTTTAAGGCATGGAGGTGAAGAAAATAGTTATGCTATGAAGCTCTGAGTTATTCATGTGTGAAATTACAGCTTTCAAGTTATAATCACCTTGACCACTTCACTGATTCATTCACTCATTGAGTAGTGATGTCCAACTCTACATCATTATAAAGAAGAGAGAACACAGATGACCATAATCAGAATAAGTAAATTAAAAGAAGTAACATGTTTAGAAGATAGTTAATATAACTTATTGATATAAAAATATAAATAGTATGTAAGGAGAGAACTAGACAAAATATAATACTTTTTAGTGCTTGGTACCTTAACTAGTCACATAGAGTCAAAAGAATATTCAAAATGATGCCAAGAATGGCAACATAATTTTCAAGTCTAATACTCATTTGAATGCACATATTCTGTTATCCAAGTTCCAATTGCAATCACACCTTGAATATGCTATTTTAATAAGGTACATTCTTTTGTTCATGTATTATTCTCCAATGCTCACAGTTTTAAACTATCTAAGCTAGATTTCCACAATTTTTTTTCTTCAATGATCCAGATAAAAATATCTAGAGATTTTTAAGTCATTTTGTCTCTCTTGCAACTATACAACTCTGATGTTATACTTCTAAAGCAGCCATATATAATATATAAACAAGTAAGCATGGATGTCTTTCCATAAGGTTTTATTTACAAACCAAACATCAGATCGTTTTAGACCTACAAACTCAATGATCTCTGATTTAAGTAAGCATTCTGATGTGTGTTTTTTAAAAAAATACTATTCAGACGAATTAAAAAAAAAATATTTCCATGCTTCCTAACATGTGCCTTTTGAAAGGTGTTATATTTCTAACTTAGCTCAAGATTCATTGTCATTTGGAATCAATTAATAACTTACTCTCTACTGGGTTTTCTGAGACTGTGCATCACACAAAAGGAGATTGTCCATCTTTTTTCCCTCAGAGAGTCTGGTTAATTTAAACTACCAGCGAGTCACCTCTGGGTCAGAGACCCCTTGGGTTAGTAGTTCAACTCCCTACAGTCCAGACCACAAGTGCCCGATTATTTCTAACTAGACAGCAGCAAATTTTGAATTCTGTAGATAGTCTATCTAAGAACTAGAATCTAAGTTTTTCTACTTTCCCTCCTTGTTTCCTGACTTCAGCTTTGTTGAGATTTTCTGAATGTCAGCCAGGAATTCTTGTGTCACAATTGTCCCTCTAGTGTCCCCAGAGCCAAGATAAATATATGTCAGAATATAAACTTCATACCTGTGAATACCTATGTGAATATAGTCAGCACACAAATAGAAAGAGGAGGCAATATGAGCACCGTCGTGATGGTAATGAATGAGAGAACTCTACACCTGAATCTTATATCCAACACATTAAAATAAACATCTAAAAATTGAAGCATGAGTATCTGAAGCTTGAGCATTTTGGTTTTTAGAACAAATAACCAATGAAGAATCCTCTAATCAACATATTTCATGTCAATAATGTTTACTATCAAGAGAACTTTGATTAAACAAAAAAATATTTATGAATTTGAGAACATTTAGGTAAATACTGTCACCATGAATTTATAGTAACCAGCAGCCAGGAAATTAAAAGGCGCATTGCCATGGGAAAGTCTGCTGTTAGGGACCTCTCCAAAGTACTGAAGAGCAATGGTGTCTCCCTGGAGACTAAGGTGCATCTGATACAGGCCATGGTTTTCACAATCACTTGTAATGCATCAGAGAGTTGGACAATGACCAAGGAGGATAGAAGGAGAATTGATGCCTTTGAGCTGTGGTGCTGGAGAAGAGTATTGAAAATACCATGGACTGCTAGGAAAACAAACAGATTTGTCCTGGAAAGGGTTAAACCGGGTGGTTCCTTGGAGGCAAGGATTCTGAGGCTCCGTCTAACATACTTTGGACATGTTGTGAGGAGAGACGGGTCCTTGGAGAAGGACATCATGCTTGGGAGGGTGAAGGGCAGGCACAGGAGCGAAAGGCCCTCTATGAGGTGGATTGATTCAGTGACTGGGATAATTGGGATGGGAGTGTTAGAGACAGTGCGGTTGGCACATGACAGAGCAGAGTTTAGGGCTGTTGTACATAGGGTCGCTATGAGTCACAGGCAACTCGATGGCACATAACAACAACAACAACATCTCAAGAATGTTAATACTGCTGATGGACTAAAAGTCACTAATTTGTCCACAAAAAATAATATCACTTTTTTTAAATGATGAAACCAGTTTCTGCCTAGCCAATTCAAGGTCATGACAACCCATGTGTTCTCCATGACTCAGAAGCCTGCCCTATACTGAACCAGTCTCACTGACTCTAACACACCTATCCCACTACCTCAGTTACTGTATCAATCTATCTAGTCCAGGGTCTTTCTCTCCTGTATTGTCCCTCCACCCCTGCAAACATGATGTACTTTTCCAAGGACCAGTTCCTCCTTGCCACATGCCCCAAGTATGAAAGACAGAGCCCTTAAAATCCTTGCCTTCAAGGAGCAGCTTAGTTTCACCCTCTTCAACATAGACTTACTTTTTCTTCTGGCAGTTTGTGATATGTTCAATACTCTTCTCCAGCACCACAACTCAAAAGCATCAATTCTTCTGTCAACTATGGTCATTGTCCTCTCTGATGCATAGTAAGTAATTGCAGAGACCACGGCCTGTTTCAGGCACATCTTGGTCTGTAGACTGACATTATTGTTTCTCAGTACTCTGGAGAGGTCCCTGACAGCAGATTTTCCTAGTGCAATTTATCTTTTAATTGCCTGACTGCTGGCGCCAAGAATGTTGGTAGCAATCTGAATCTCTTCTCCATCCATCACGGTGCTGCCATCTGGGCCAATAATGAGAATTTATTTTCTTGAATTTGAGCTTCAATCCGTATTGCAGACTATAGTCCTAGATCCTCTGCAGCAAATGCTTCAGGCCTTCCTCCGTTTCAGCAAGCAAGGTCTTGTCTTCTACATAATGCAGATTGTAGATGAGTCTTCTTCCAATCCTGATGCCACATTTTTCAACATAAAACCCAGCCTCCCAAATGATCTGCTCCACATTTAGATAGAAAAGGTATGGAGATAAGATGCATCCTGATGCACTCCTTTCCTGATTTTGAACCCCCCAGTGTTTCCTTGCTCTGTTCTGATTACTGCTTCCTGGGCCAAGTATAGGTTTCACATGAACACAATCATGTGTTCTGGGATTCCTATTCTTCTCAATGTTAGCCACAATTTATTGTGATTCACACCGCCAATGCCATTGCCAAAATATTAAATTGTTAAAATTTATATTTTACAATTAGTAAACAGTTTCTGTCCTGACATTGTCCTGCTACCTAAACTCCCTTCCAGAAGTATGAAAATTTTTCTCATGATCAAGACACTAATGAATTAATTCCCAACTTAGCTATGACTGGCTTCCATTCTGATTGGTGAAAATTAATTGTTAAATATGTCTTTAAAGGTAATATCAACTAATGCCACTCTCAAAGGAATAAGATATTGTCTAGATGTCTAACTTGTACTATTTGGTGATATTTAGACTTCAGCTGATAGACAACTGTCTATCCTTAAAGAAGTCCTTGTAGCATAGTGCTCTACTGAAAATGAGAAGGCCAATGGTTCAAACTCACCAACCACTCAAGTGGGAGAAAGCTAAGGAATTCTGTTCCCATAAAATTATAGCCTCAAAACCTTGTGGAGCAGTTACATTCCTACAGTTAGTTT